TTACATGTTCTCACAACAAATTTTAACATCTGGATTGGCCAAATCAAGAAGTAAATGAAGTGCAAGGATTTAAATCATCACAACTTCTTCCAACATTAAAGATCAATACTCTCCACAACTTCCATCCAAAACATAATTACTTATCATTTTAAGAAGAACGATAAAGAAAACTACTCAGAATCCATGAAAAAACAAAACCAGACTTTAGTTTAAAAGAAGAAATCATTGTCAAACCAACAACAAGACTCCATTAAAACCAAAAGTAGTCTAAAACAAAAAGATAAAATTTATCTCAAGTCCTCCACCAAACTCTTGAAGTTCCTTTGAATCTCTCCTCTTTTACAATCACTCAAAATAAAATAACAAAAAGGATAAAGTAAAATAAAAAGTGGTTCCTGAAAATCTCTCCGGACTATCTCCCTAGAAAAGAACTTTCAAAACTTGCCAATATTTTCAGGACTCTTTTCTAAGTCCTCTCTTATTTCTTTTATAGTTTTCCAAGAGGTGCCTGGGATCTCTTCAAATTATGTCTTGATTCGATTTATTTGCCAAAGAGATGCATCCTTTCATGACAACTTTCGTCCATGGTGGTTACAACCACCTATTAAGCCAATGGGTGCCTCAAAGACCTCTTCAAAATTCGTGAAAACTGATTTTACTCGTCTAGTAACTGCCACTGGGGCTTAAGCGCGGGGTCTCTATGCTTAGGCACGACCTTCTCTGTTTAATCGGCGTGTAAGCGTCGGATTTAGTGCTTAGGCGCCAAAACTCTTTTGCACAATTTTTCACCTTTTTGCTCCAAAATTGATCCTTTTTCACTCCTTTAAGCATTTTTTCTATATTTACTTGTATATGCAAGAAAATCATAAAAATACTTTCCATTAAAGCGCAATATCTCAAAAATAAGTATAAAAATATGTCTAAAAATAATATATATTTTAGTTGTATCACCTGTCACTCTAAAATCCTCTAATTCTACACCCTTCAAAGTTTATTTTCTTATTTATTTTCACTCAATCATATGAATTACATTCTCATCCATACAATCTCATGTGATTCTTACAATTTGTTGATTGAGACAATATCATCTTGGATCTTACATATTTTCACAACAGGTATTAACATCTTAATTGACAAAGTTAAGAAGTAAATGAAGTACAGGGTTTAAATCATCACAGCTTCTTCCAACATTAAGGACCAAAATTAAGAAGTAAATGAAGTACAGAGTTTAAATCATCACAGCTTCTTCCAACATTAAGGACTAATACTTCACAAAATTTCCATCCAATACTTAATCACTTATCATTTTAAGGAAAAGATAAAATACTCAAAAATCATGGAGAAAACACAACCACACTTAAATTTGAAAGTATGAATCATACAAACAAACAAGAAGTCTAAATTAAAACCAAAAGTAGTCATAAAGATAAAAACTTATCTCAAATCCTCTCCACGAAAGTCTTGAAGTACCTTTGAATCTCTTCCTTCACTTACAATACAAACTACAACTTAAAATAAAAAGAAAAGTGGCGGCAGCGGTGGCTATGAGCGGCGACAGTGACATATGGTGGCTGAAATGGGGGTTGGCTCAATAGATTCTCTTTTCTCTTCTATCTAAGTCCTCTTTTATAATTTTTCAAAAGATGCATTGATGTCTCTTCAAAATGTGTTCACATTCAATGAATCTTCTAGATGTTGCCTCATTTAAAAGTCAATTGAATGAATTTTCGTGTCCATTAACTATTTCTCATGTTTTCACCAAGTGTTGCTTCAAACACTTCTTCAAAAGTTTGTCCAAATTCATTAAATCATCAAGTAACTACTTCTGGCGCGTAAGCGCAGGTACTGGGAGCTTAGGCGTAGCTCTCTATGTTTCACTAGAGTGCAAGCGCCAGTTCTGGGCACTTAGGCGACTCAGTTCAATTTTATACCTTCTTCATTTTTACTATAAATTTGATACTTTTTCACTTCTTTCACTATTTTCATCCATTTGATTTAAATATGCTAATGTTCGTAGACTCATCAAAAAACACACACAAATATCTTTTATTAAAATATAATATCTCAAAAATAAATATAAAAATGTGTACATAAAGACTATATTTTAGGTGTATCGGTGTCCACACATCTTCCCACCAAATTCTCTTCCTTAAATGAATCTACCATACCCTTTTTCGATCCCAATCTCTATAGAAAAAATATTGGATCACTCCATTATCTCACTATTACAAGGCCTATCATCACATTTATTGTTAATCACCTTAGCCAATACATGCAACAATCATCTACCTACAATTACCAACAAGAGAAACGACTACTTAAATACTTAAAAGGTACTACTAATTACGGCTTACCTATCACACCTGGATCTTTATGTCTAACAACATTTGGATATTCCGAATGGGCGGCAGATTCCAATGACAGAAAATCCATCTTTGAATTCTGCATCCATTTAGGACCAAATTTCATATCATGATCCACAAAGAAACAACCAACTGTTGTTCGATCCTTGGTCAAAGCCATAGCCTCTTCCACTACAGAAATAATTTCTCCAAAGAGGCTTCTACATGAACTCATTTCTCAGAAAACTCCTACCACTTTTCACAGTGATAGTACCTTAGCTATCTCTATAGCACATAACCCTGTCTTTACGTCGCACAAAGCACATTGAAGTGGACTATCACTTTATTTGAGACCATTTTAAACTCAAGGAAATCCAACTACATCACTTAATGACAGAAGATCAGATGGTGAACATATTCAACAAACCTCTCTCGATAGCTCAACACACCAAACACCTCATCAAACTGATGATCTCCTTAGGTTATAATGAAAATGGATCTCTTACCATACCTGATCAAGTCGATTTACCTCTTCCTAGCTCAATCAGAGAGGTTCTTTGTCGGTTTTAGGGATTCTATGGAAAGCATATGTTTATATTATTATTTGTAAAGAAGTATAGTTACCTATTTAGCCCTTGCCTTTTTTTACTTACCCTCATTTATGTTTATATAAGGGGCTGTTCCCTCAATTAATTAATATAGATTGAGAGACGAATAAACATAATTAAGTTAGTGTTACATATACTTCTTGCTTATTCTGAGTTTCTCCTTTCTTCTTCTTCCATTTCTTTTCTTTTTTGTTTTTCTTTCATAAGAATGTTCTAATATTTGTAAATAATAAAATTTGAGGTCTTTCTATGTAACTACCCCTAATTTTTAAAATCATTGTATTATGATTAAAAAATAATTATATACATAACACATTTATATTCATTTTTCTCAATCGATGAAGAAAATCTTATCCTAATCCATCCAAAATTTCTCCCCAAAAATTATTAGTTTTTTCGTATGAGAACATGCCAGCGGTATCCCTCAACTGCGCAGCATCGAATCTCTATATGACGCCGTGATCATCCCGTCCCGCCGCCATAGTTAGGGAGGGACTCACGGGTCGAAGGCTGAAGACCAGAGAGGGGAGGGAAGGCGACGGAAGCATTGCTGCGCTTGCGGCGGAGCACCTCTTTGGATAGCAGTGCGCGATGGGTGAGGGAAGGGAAGGCGACTGGGAGTGTGGGAGTTGCTGTAATCGGAACTACGCGTTCCGATCCTTCTGCAATCGGTGCAAGAAGCCACGTCTCCTGGTTGATACAAAGACACCGTCAGACTCCAAATGGCTTCCTCGCATTGGAGACTGGATCTGCTCTGGTTTGTTTCTTGCTCTATTTCATCTTTATCCTTAGATTCGTTTGCCCTCTTCTTCTTGGCTGTTGAGAAATTTTTAATGAGATGTCGTTACTGGTTTTCTTCGCTTGCAATTTCGGTTGGTTTGAGTTAGTGTAGGGTTTTTGATTTCTAGCTTATTGTATACTTTGTTTCTTTTGTCTTCTGCTTTATTTGTAATATTTTCCGGAGTGTTCTGAGCTATGGAGGCGTGTGAGTAACGTTCTGCTTAACTTTAGCGGTTCTGTTGCACTGGATTCAAGTGAGAAGTCTCTTGTTTTATTGTTTTAGTTGTTAATGGGGTTACTGCTGTTAGTAGTTACCGTGACTGTTTAAATTTAAACTTCTTGTTTCAGAGTTAATATTATTTCAGAAATTATTTATGTTTGTTCTGTGAATTGAACTCGATAAATCAGCGACATATTCTCTTTAGAAATAGAAATTAACTCGTGATGTTGTTGGACATGTTATTAGTTTCTTGTTTATTGTGGTCCAACCTATTGAAAATGTCTTATGAGGGCCTTCATTTATTTTCATTTGCTTGAATCTCATATGGCAATAAGCGAGATGTCCATTTTTTTCCAACTTATTAAAGAAATTTTCTAAGTGATTTTATACTCTATGAAATAGTAACAACTTGTCTTTTTAATGTTCTCAGAATATGATTGTTGCTCTTTGCATCATAAATTGTTTCTTTTTGGAGAAGTTCTGCTGTTGTAGGATAGCTTCGCTTTATTGTGTTTATGGAATGATGCCTCTTACTAACATAATACTTAGCTTTTCTGCCATTGGTTCAAGCAAGCTTACAGGTCTTTTAACTTTTAAAAAGAAGGTTTAGATTTTTATGCAGAAGATTTACATACATACCACTCAATTCCTATATATTTATATATCTTACGCCTAAACTTCAGTTTTTACATAGGTACCACCTTACCCTTGCATGAAAAGGTGTATTTCACTTTTTAAAAGTTAAAGGATGTTTACATATATACCACGTAATTCTTATGTATTTACATATCTAACACATACTTTTCAATTTTTACATACATGCCACCTTACCTATGCATAAAAAGATGCATGTCACTTTTTTAATAGTTAAACTGATGGTCTTTTTGATTTGATATGAAAATTTTGGATGGTTTAAATGTAAAACATAAAGTTTAGGTGTTAGATATATGAATATATAAGAATTGAGTGGTATGTAAAATGTTGGTAATTTTGATGTGATATGAAAGATTTGGGTGGTATGTATGTAAAAGTCCTTTCTTAAATTTTCTGACATGCATTTTTTGTTTAAGTTTTGTGTTCCACTCCGATTATATTTTTCTGTAATTAAGTTCTAACCTGTGGATTCTGTTTTCTATTTCTGTTGGACACATCTCTGTGGATTTGCTACTTGGGCTGCATTCTTCACTGTTGATGCATCATTTTGGATCTTTTGTGGCAATTGGATCAATAGGGTGTAGTAACAACAATTATGCTTCTCGAGAATTGTGCAAAAAATGTGGTCAACCAAAGGAGGAAAGTGCAATTTCAGCAATTACAATGCCCGGAGGACCTTTTCCAGCTTATTCACATTATTTTCCCAGAATGCAGGGTCTTCTTGGATCAAAGATGAACTTCGGTATGGCTGGCAGATCTGCTTTTCAGCAATCCTTTCCGACGGGGTCTGGTTGGGGGTATATGACATTTCCTGGTAACAGCAATGGGGACATTTCATATGGAGATAGCTCAGATCAGTTGCTTGGGATTCCAAAAGGGTGGCGCGATGGTGACTGGTTATGCGATTGTGGATTTCATAACTATTCTTCCCGTACACAGGTTTGAATTTTTAAATCCTATGAGATGCGTTTTGTTCTAGTTTTCTATATATTTACATAACCATGGTCCTCTTTTACGTGGCATTTTCCTTGGTTTTTCCTTTTATTTAGTTTTGATTCCACTGTGGGCATGCACAATTAGTTTTTCATTGTTTGTGGGCAGTAAATTAATTTTTCGTTGTAGAAGGTGTTTGTAGTCCTTAAACCATTTTGCTAGAGATTATTTCTGGAAAAGGGCACTTCTTTGATATTTAAGCTTTAATGTCTGAACACAATGTGGCAAACTTCTGTTGTTGTTTCTGTCTAATGTTTGGTAACTTAGAAAACTCCACTTGTCTATATATGTTGATTAATTGATACAATATTGAAAAAATTATTTGCATGAACTATTTGCCCATGATATAAAAGCTGCTTTACTTCTAATCTTCTTAAAAAAATTATCGATATTTTGAATCGCAACTCAATCACATTGTTATTTCCTTGCTTTCATTTCCACTTACTGAAAATTAGGGAAGGACTTGCTTTAAAATAATTACTCTCCTAAATTATTGTCTAATTTATAAAAAAATATCATGAAAAAAATACTACTTTATCCAATCCAAATATGTAGGCTGGCATCTAATTAAAAAATGATATGGGGGTTGACATATTGCCACTTTGATTATGTTAACATGAAATGGAATCCATTTTATGCCAGCCATACATGCCTAAATGAACTATCTTTATTCATTTATTTTTATCTGATAGGTCTCATTTATCACATCCCAATTCCGAAAGGAAGTATAATGTGGGGCATGATGAATGAATATAAACTTGTTCCGCACTCACAAAAAGGAAAATTGATACATGCCAATATGAATGACAACATAAACAGTAAAAGATAAATTTTATTTCATTAAATTAATAAATATTATAATCCCAGTTCAACTATAGAATAAAACATCTAATGAAATAACATGGAATGAAAATTATTACAAAAACAAAACTATTCAAAATGCAACTAGAAAATAAATAAAATTAGTCCATAAACTTAAGAACACCGCAACCAAAATCTATTGTTGATTAATCTATTTTTGTGGTGATGGTCCATTGAACTTCCTTTTATAACCTGTTATAAGAAAATATCAACAAGTGAGTTTGACGAATTAGACACAATAAATAATTATTAAAATATAAAAAATAAGGTATTAGGGCATAATATATGGACAAAAGAAAAGGATGATTTGCTGCATATATGCCATTAGGATTATTATTGTCATATATTAATCACAATAATAGTGATATTACAACAATAGAAACATTAGATGTCCAAATAGTCTAGGTTTCAATATTTTTATGATCATGAGTATGAATGACTAGAACCCTGCACCACTACTTTAACATCTATATTCCATAATATCATGTATATTTACATATATTTATCTATGACTTATTAAACATTTATCTCTACTTGACAATAATTGAATAAAAAAGTGCATGTATATATTTGTATATATGTATAGAATTAGTTTTTGAGGATGCTTTTAAATGAGAAAATAAAGATACTAATTCTATGAAAATCCAATGATTTCTTTGATGACTTGTCAATTCAGCTAACCATAACAAAGTGCTTAATACTGAGATTTTATGATCATAATGCCGTGCATACACATCATAAACAAGCTGTTTTTAAGAATATTATGAGAAATATAGTAAATTAATAATTGTATACAAATATGAGTTGCATAAATTGGATATAAATAAATAATATGTAGAAATAATAAACTTTGCAAAAAAAAAAAATTTATTGAATAAACCGAAATCTGTTCTTTGTAACAATAAATTAATGCTAAACTATTTATGCAATTTATTGTGAATAATAATTGAAAGTTATTGGCATATATATAAAGAGTAATAGAATTCTAACATTATGATTGAAGAATCTACAAAATAACTAGAAAACTAATGTAATTGACAATGATAACACCTTTAACAATGAGTAACACGTTTATTCTATAATATATAACCATTACTTTGTTTGAGATGGGTAATGTGGAACTCCAAACTAATTGATATTCAATCAATAACGTTAGGCAAAATTTAGCTCGAAGATCCTTTAATAAAAAATTCAAATTATATTAAAGAATAAAACAAGTTCAATTCACAGGCCTATTAATGCCAGCTTGAGTGCATATACAAAGGGTTATTAGTTTGACCTAGGCCACGACACAATTAAGCCGTTATTGCTAAGCCATCAATCCTATAATTTGTGATTAACAGAGCTAACAACGTAAAATGCTAAGATTTGATCATAATTCCAATTAACCTTTTCTACAAACGATAATAAATAATTAACAAATGGCAAGTCTAATTTAAACTTCACCAAAGTACAACCCAAATAAAAAGTTACCAGAATAAGAAGAAGAGAGCTCACTGATTATTTAATTGAGGAATTGGAGAAGGGAGATTGAGGTTCTTTTGTGTCAATTTAATAGGAGGAAGACATGATGAGAGGGCACACCTGCACTAGGTTGTGGGGGGAACGAGGGTCTTTGGTGGTTTTGAGGGAAGGCCCAATAGTTGCCTCAATGATTTTAAGAGGAGGAGAGCAAATGATCAGTGTTTATGATTTTGGAAGAGAGAAGAAGACGACTTGCGAAAGTTCAGTGATTGCAATGGAGATAAAATCGGTGGTTAGAGGGTGTCCTAGCATCGATCCCTATTTATTGTGAGTGAAGGCAATGCAGAAGAGCATGTGTTGGAAAGATATCTTGCTATCCACTCGATTGAGAAGACAACAAAGCTGCATGTGTGTAAAAGGAAATTAGAGTTGCTTGGGGAAGAAAGACGATTTTGAGAAAAAAATTGCGATCAGGTGATGATGGAGACGATTGCAACGGGAGACCCGGACAATTTGTGGGACTGACCAGGATTTGTTTGGTTTGCTACACCCCGCTGGTGTTAGTCATTGTGAAGCTTCTTACAATATGCATTTATTTACAACCTAACAACACAATCATGCCTAATTATAAGGCTCTGTCAAGTTACTATGATCACAAATTTTCTTTAACCCTTAGGTGAGGCTGAAATTAAAAATAAATAAATAAACAAATAAAGGTTGTTCTGATGGGGAATTTTTTTATTACTTCGACAATACAAATCTATATTTGTAATGTATTAAGAGCAAAAGTAAAGATCTTATAAAGCTAGAAAAATGATATTTTGTTTAACGTTTTCCAAAATAACATCCATAAAAGATAATTTACAAAAAATTAAATAATTCACATATTTATAATTGTAAATAAGACAATTATTTACCCACGTCTTATAAATTGTTCTCAAGCTTAATCATCTTCATCATTAGCCTTATCTCAGCTATTTGAAGTTTAATTTGTGATTTCTCATTTTCGTTCTTTCATATTGAGTTTTATATGCGATGGTAAGTCCATTTTTGGCAAAATATTTTGAAGAACTATCCATATAATTTTATGTCTATCTATTTTCCGTTCTATGTCTCTCACACCATTTCTATTAATTCTACTAAAAAATATTAGTTGTTTGATTTGTTAATCTTGATTTACTTAGAAAATACTAACAAATCCATTTTTTCATTGACAATTCTCTACCTAATCCTAGAAAAAACATGAAGAAAATTTATGCGATCATTTTTGTCACTCACATGTCTTCCTAGATATAAAAAAATGTAATTTTTTTATCAACCAAAAAGAAAGGAAAAAAAATTATTTATTTATTTTTTGAAGATCTAGCTAGTTGGTGAATAGTAGTTTCAATTCAATTTATTTACCATTTTCCTTTCCATTTCCTTTTTAGTTGCTCTTTTTATCATAATTTTTTCCATTTTTGATCTTATTCTTTTTTTCCCAAATGATCACAAGAATACTAGGTAGAGGAGGTTTTGATGTGTAATTCAAAATTTTAAATTTCATTAGATCACATGGTGCTAGGTTTTAAGCATTCCCACTAACTAGATTTTTTGTGTAATGACAATAATGTAAAGCAAGGCTCGGTTATATTTGTTTCAATTTTATTTATATAATTATGTTTGAATTCATGTCGGGCAAGTCTACTATGAAAGTTATACATTTATTGAGAAGTTTGATGGAAAAGTAAAAGGAGAGTAAGAAGGATCTATATATGAATTTTGTTTATTTAGAAAAGCTTATGATAAAGTTTCAAGAGAAATACTTTAGAGAGTTATTGAAAAGAAAGGTGTTATATTGCTTATATTCAAGTCATTAAAGATATGTATGTTAGAGCTGTTACTTGTATTTGAGCACAAGGAGGATTGACCAAGTATTTTTCTATTTCAGTTCGATTAAATCAGGGATCAACTTTAAGCTCATAATATTTACAAGAGAATGTTCCTTGGTGTATGTTTTTCCGCTGATGATATCCTTCTTGTGGAGAAGACTAGAGAGGACAAATTTGAATTAGGGAGGTCAAATTTAGAGTAAAGTTTTTTGTTTGAGTAGATCTACATTTGAATACATGTAATGTTATATTAATAGTAGTAGATTTAGTGGCAGGGTTGTAACTACGGGTGATAAAGTTATTAAAAGAAGTGAACGTTAGATATCTTGGGTCTATTGTTCCTAGTGATGGTGATATAAACGAGGATGTTATTAGTAGAATTCAAGTTGGATGGTGGAGGAATGCATTGGGTGATAGAGCAGTACCACTTAGAAAGGAAAATTTTATAAGATGCTAGTGAGACTTGCGATATTTTTTTGTGCAAAATGTTGGCCTGTAAAAGAGGAGAAAATATTACCTCAAGACTCTGCAGGGACAGTTGCCTGCGGAGTCCAATTAATGGAAGCCACGTGAAATCTCGGCCCCACAGATGAAAATAGAGAAAATAAATAAAACTTTGCGTGCGACCCGACCCGACCCAAAACACAACCCGATCAATTTTCACGCCGCTTTCATAAAATTATTTCTCATCCGATGGAGTCACTACTGTTCTATTACCAGCTGAAGAAATATTTCGCAGCTTTGGACGCATGCAACTAGGGTTTTTGGAAGAAATATTTCTTCGGGTTTGTGTTTGGTTTCGATGGACTTCTCCATTTTACATCTGTCCTAAATTTTTTGATTCTTATATAAATTATTAGTAATAATAAGTTATGACATCTAAATAAATTATTTTTGTTCTATAATACACTAATAACAAACTAATAATACATCAATAATACACTAATAACACATAATAACACATATAACACAATTATACACTCCCTAGCTCGCGGTATAACACGTAAGGAATATTCCCTGCGTGTTATACCGCGGGTTATAATGCCGCCCCACGTGTTTTAAAACCCCCTTACCTTATAACACTCCTTTAGCCCGCGGTATAACACGTGGGGAATATTTCTTGCGTGTTATACCACGGGTTATAATGCCTCACCACGTGCTATACAACCGCCCTATAACACTCCCCTAGCCCACGGTATAATACGCAGTGAATATTCCCCACGTGTTATACTGCGGGCTAGGGGAGTGTTATAGGGTAGTTGTATAACACGTGGGGCGGCGTTATAACTCGCGGTATAACACCCAGGGAATATTCCTCAGGTGTTATACCGCGGCCTAGGGAGTGTATAATTCTGTTATTATGTGTTATTAGTGTGTTATTATGTGTTATTAGTGTGTTATTGGTGTATTATTAGTGTGTTATTGGTTTGTTATTAGTGTGTTATATACAAAAATAATTTATTTAGATGTCATAAATTACATGTATTAATAACTTATATAAGAATAATAAGATTTAGGACAGATGTATAATGGAGAAGTCCTTCGAAACCAAACACAAAAATCCTAATAAATATTTTTTCCAAAAACTCTAGCTGCATGCGTCCGGAGCTGCGAAATATTTCTTCAGCTGACAATAAAATAGTAGCGACTCCATCGGTTGCCCATCGGGTGATAAATAATTTTATGAAAGTTGTCGGGAAATTAATCGGGCTGTATTTTAGGCCGGGTCGCGCGCGAAGTTTTATTTATTTTCCCTATTTTCACATGTGAGGTCGGGATTTCACGTGGCTTTCGTTAATTGCACTCCGCAGGCAACTGTCCCTGCGGAGTCCTGAGGTAATATTTTCTCGTAAAAGAGAAGCATAAAATTAAGTGTAGCTGAGATGAGAATGTTCAAGTGGATGAGTTGCTTTATACTTAGAGACAGACAAAACATGAAATAAATATTTTCGTGAACGGGTTGGAATGGCTCCACCGACATACAAGATTAGAGAGAGTTGTCTTAGATGGTTTGGTCACATTAAATTTCGTCCATCTGATGACGCAATTAAAAGAGTAGATGTTTTAGATTTGATTTATGTTTAGAAAGGTCGAGGTAGATCTAAAAAGACTTGGGAATGTTGTATAAAAACAGATATTAATTTATTAGAATTAAATGAAAATGACACTCAATAGGACACAATGGAGAAAAAGGATTATGTAGCCAACCCCACTTAATGGGATAAAAGCTTGTTTTTATTGTTGTAAATTGCAATTATGTTTGTCTGAATAGCATTGCTATTCCGATATCAGCCTTATCCTTCCTTCAATGTAATATATTTGGTGTAATATTATCTTAAAAATTGCAACGCTAGTTTAAAGAATTAATGGTCATTGAGACATTTTTTATTTTCTTATTTCTTAAACCATTAGGATCGAGGTAGTTTAGAACATCTATTTCGATTACATCATTCTTGGCTACTAATGTTGGTTAATTTGCTTTAATTTGAGAGACGGCATTAATCCAGACACCTCTTATCATCGATGACAATAACATCATATTAAAGAAAAATTTGAACGGAACAATCCCTCAATGTTAATTTTAGGATCTCATTCTTTAGTGACACTTAGCTTGCATTCAAGTTGAGGATGCTATAGTTTTTTTTTTCCACCAGTTGAAAGTTGAGATATGTGGTATTTCATTAGATCATCATGCTTCATTTGACTATTGACTATTTGGATGGATTTATTGTGTAAATAATACAAACAATAGTGTGACACCATAGGCTTCAACTTGAGCAGGAATTATTTTTATAATTACATGAATATAGAAATTATGCTATAAAGTAATTGTAATGGTTAAAATCAAAGTTCTCAAACTCAGAAATGTTAAGTCATGATAAGTTTTTTTTTGGTATCTTATTGTGGGTATTAGCTCGAAATAGTAAGCTTTGGCTCAAATATTCTCAAGTTGTCGAATGCTTTCTTCTTTGCTTATTTTATTTTATTTTTTTGATGAAAACTTTTATTGATTCAATTAAAAAATGACCAAATCAATTGAGAATTTTTTTTCATACTTTTACATATGCCTATCTATTTCTTCTGTAATGTGTGTCAGTATAAAGTTCTGTCTCTTTTACAATTTGCTGTTTATCAATCCTTTCACAACTCTGAAGCTGAGTGCTCATTTACTGTGCAGTGCAAAAAGTGTAATGAGCCTATTCCTACAAGTGGCATGAACTCTTCGGCAGCAAACTCATCAAACTTGTTTCGGGGTAATGCAGATTAATTTCTTGCATTAGTTTGAGGTGCAAATAGTAGTTTTGTATTTTGTCATCTCTCTTCAAGTGCAATTTTGGAACTTTTTTCCAATAGATCTTGGTTGTTGGGGAGCTCCAAAATAGATACAGCTGATTCTAAATGATTTGGTTATGACTAATAATGATGAAGAATCATATATTTGGTTTTGGGGATATTGGGTTTAAATTGGTTACATAATATGGCTTGTATCTATGATTAATGATCAAAATTTTCCACATTGCCTTTTGGTTTTCTCAGCCTTAATTCAGTGTAGTAAAAAAAATGCACTTTTTAAAGAATTCATTTTATGATTAGGGGTTATTTCTAGGTTTAAGAGTTTTTTTTTTATGTTCTAAAGTAACAATAATATTGCAGAATATAGTTACTTTAGTTGAAAAGGTGGATTATGATAATATAAACAATTTGTTGCAAAATCATACTCCTTACGTAATTCCTAATTTTTGAGCAGTGAAATTTTGATGGCCAGGGAGAAAATCGAGGAAATGAAAGCAACATTGGATGGTGGTAGGGATATTCATACTTAAGGACCGATCAATTCTTCTAGATTAGTTGTTATAACTTATTTCTATCGACGTGTTATTGTTAAATCATAAAAAGGTGCGAGAATTAAAACTCCCAGAATTTTGTTGAGGATTGTGCTGATTAGGGTTGGTGTATCACTTTGTATGGCCTGCCCCATGAGAAACACTCATATGTTATGGTAAATTTGAACTTTGAAGCCAACCAAAGGTCAATCCAATCAAATCACCTCATACCAACTAGATAACCCCAAAGTCAGTCCAATGAGATCACCTCAGCCTAATAGATTGCCTTACTCTCTACATTCGCTGATTTGATCATCCAAGTTCTTGACATGAACAAAATAGTATATCCGTGAAAATTATTTCCCTATTTGCGCATATTCGTTCCTTGTATTTAGTGGGCATCTCTTTTTTTTGCTTTGACGTGCTTGCAATTTTTGCTGCCTATTGAACTCACTTTTGTGAGCACCTCCTTCCTCTCTATAAAAGCCTGAGATTTAGCCTTAGGGATTCCTAGTGATTTTCTCAGATGCTTAGAAATGGGACCAACATCGATATAGGACCTTGAACCAATTCTATTCACTTAGGGCTTCAAAGGTTATGCCCCAAATACCCACCCTTTCGTTGGGATTATTAGAGTTTTGAACCAATAGGAGCCCAAATTGAATTCCTTGTGATGACCTGTTGACCAACCCTAAACCCTCTTTAATCTAGAACAAGCCCATTGGGTATGAGGCTAGTTTTAAGCCAAGGAAGGGTTCACCTGTTATATCACAACCCTAAACTAAAACCCTAACATCAAAATTTGAACTTAAAAGGGAATTGGGCCACCACAATTGGACCCTGAGTTCACCCAATTCCTCCCCTCAATACTAAGCAGCCCTAAAATTAAAAGAAACACAAACATATTAATTTAACCCTATAATTGAAATTATTGGCATCATTATAATTTAATTGAACTTAAAATAAGACCAAATTGTCTATCAAATAAAAAAAAGTAATTAACGATTTAAATTAAATCAAAATCAATCAAAAATATCAAAATTAAGATTACCCAATTAAGCCGAAAATCAAGCTAAATTAAATAGGTAAGATTTGTAACTGACTTAATTGATTAACTAGGCTAACCATGAAAGCCCAAGAAGCCTAATCTCTTAAGGCCAAGTCTAATGACAACAACCCAAACCTAAACTATTAAGGGGAGCCCATGACCTAAGCCCAAACTTTGAAATCCTAAAAGAAACCCACATGACCCAAATGACCCACCCATGATAGAATAACCTAACCACAAAAAAAAAAAAAAATCAATTTAAATTAAACATAAGACACACTAAAGGAAAAAAGTGCACATTCAACCAAAATGACTAACACTTGGCATCTTGGTCAAACCAACCCAAGTCCCACTCATCCAGTACCAAGACCAGACCAATACTGGTCTTAGCCACCTCACCAAGACTCCTCGCAATCCTCTCAAGCCTTGGCCATGGTTACTTCAGTACCATTGGAGCTCATTATGGTCAAAACATCAAAAATGGAGGAAGCTTCCATCCCTCTGCCCAAGCTCCTGAAATCCATCTGCTCATCCTCGAAGGAGCCACTAGAGATCCCCAAGCACCTCAGAGCTTCCCTCCATGGCCTCCCATGGCTTTTTATAGCCCCAACCCGAGAGCTCTCTATGCAACTTAAGCTCCCCAACCAGCCATCAAAACCTCTCTCAACACAAAAAACCCTCCTACAATCAAGAGTGGTTCATCCCCATCCTTTCCAAGCCTCCACACTGCTCCCATTGCCCTAATTTCATTGCCTGAATCCAGGAATGTTTATGGCCTCGACATCAAAACCTTCCAAACTCCCAATTGAGCCTCTCAAAAGCTTCATAAAGACTCATTATACCTTCCCCAATTAAAATTAAGCCTTCCCGCACCCTCCACCATAACCCAACACCAAACCGTGATCCCCTTTGGTATAGTCTATAGCTAGGACCAATTTGGATTCAAATTGAAGCAAGAGGAAGGTGCATTGTGCTCAGGCGATCGTCTCCATCAACCCCAATCGAGGCTTCACCTCTTGGGAAAAGGTATGGGTTTGAAACTCCTAAATTAGGCCTTAGTTTGGTCTTTTATGAATAAAATATGCAATGTAGCTTCACCTAGCCGTATAGATAGGTTTGTCTCACATAGATGAAGCTTTAAGATTTGGTTGAGTGTGGAGAGAGATCTTAGCATTTGATCACGGACGGCTTTCGGTTCACAAACCTTTTCAGACGTTGAACTGATGCCTTCTGTTTCCGTGTATTTGAAATGGACGACGGAGATCGAGTCGTACGGACTGCGTGGTTCAAATCAACGACACAGATAATGGCCATGTCAGCAGTCTTCGTGGAAAGGCCAGCAAATCTTGGAGCGACGGAGCGTCCGAGGAAAGTGAAGACTGGCGACAGACGTTTGTCGAATAGTTTTAAAAAGAAGTGACATGAAAAATATAATTAGTTATGATGTTTAATACAAAGATGTATCTCAAACAAATAAATAAAAAAAAGAAAAAAAGCCAATAGAAATCTCCGAACTCCATAAAAAGATTCCTCAGAGAATTCACTACACGAGAAATACTTCCATTCCATTAAATTTGCATTGATATTTGTATAAATAAAAATTCTACAAATATAATAAAGATCTCAAGTCAATAAATTAGATAGAATTATTCCTATTGTTAAGAAAAAACTCTCTTCCAGTTGCTTACTGGATACAAGATAGGCTTGCGATGTCGAGAGCACGATCATCGATGGAAGAAATATGTTTTGGCTCCACCAATTGCTCCGAGAATCCATTGGCGCTATGCGTCACGCTCTTCGACGCCAATTTGATATGTAATGTTATATACAACACTTCCTTCTCTTAGTTTTATTTTAAGTTTAGTTTATGGCGTAGTGTTAATGATCTGTCTAGGTGTTTATCATTAATACTTACAACCTAATTAGGATGTAGATTAAACATAAGTGTTTGGTAGCATAAATTACCTTGTATTACTCCTAAGAGAGCATCTTTTCTTGAATGAATAATTCTGTCATTATGGATCCATATTGTAAGAGGACTATCTATTCCTTTTGTAAAATAAGCTTTCATTAATATTTGAATTATATTTTTTCAGGATTTTTTATATTATGTAGATCTTGTTGTTTTATTTGTTGATTATAAAAAGGAATTCGAGTTCTTCCTTCAGTATTAATTATATCTATAGGATGCTCTCCTTGTCTGATAATGTAATGAACACTTTTTTTCCAAATAAATATTGACATTTCAAAGCAATACTTGGTCCCTAAGGATAATTTTCTTTTTGTTATTCTATTATAGGCTTCTTCAGATAATGTAATATATCTTTCGTGTTCGATATTATTATCATTAATTATATCAGATTCATGATTTTCCGACATTAATCAGAATACATGTATTTATCTATTTCATGATCAAAATAAATAGTGTCTATATGATTTTCTTCAGTATCAGATGATAAGTATAATTTTTTTTCGCTTTCTATTTCTGATAAATAAAAAATGGGTTGAAGATTTGCTTCATTTATTATTGAAATAGATTTTACATGACTTAATTTAGTTTTCTGAGGATAATTATTTGCATAAAGACCTTGTTTACATATTCAACATTTATTATTTCTAATTTGTTTATTTTTTGTATTATTTTCTTTTCTTTTAAAGGTTTTTTTATTAGGAATATAATATATTTTATTTTATTTTCTGAAGAATTTTTTCTTTTTATTTTTGCAGAACACTCACAGTTGTTATGTAATGAACATCCTCATTGTTGAGGAATTAAGTCAGATTTTTCACAACACAGAGATTGCTTATATTGTCTATTTTTCTTGTGTAAATCAACTTGCTGGCAGACATCAGCTAATTTTTCTAAGGCAAAGTGTATTCGACTTCCTAAACATGTATCATTAGGATATATTTGTTTGAATTCTTGACTCCAAAAATATTATATGGTTCTGGTAGTTTATAGAAATACATATCTAAATATTTTTGTTTTTCTTCATATAATATATCATAGAAAAAATTTTGAACTATATTTCTTTAAGTAATAAATATTACATATATTTAAAGATGTTATTTTGTGTTTAGCATCTTGAGATGCAATTTTTCGCTTTTGTTCATCTGAGAATGTCAAAACTTTATATCCTAAGAATTCTTCTTTTAAATATTTTGCATATTATTAGGTCAGCTTCCAAGATTATTTGGATTACATGTTTGTCTTATAGTATTTTTTTGTTCAGGTGATAATCCTGAAAATCATTTTTTTGTTATTCCTGTTAATGTATTTTCTATATAATTATATACGTTATCTCCTTTTAAATTATAATTATATATTGTTAAACTATTTTCTATTACCCATTTGTCTATTTTTTCATTTATATTTTTACAA